TCTATCGTTGGGCAGTTAGGTTGTTTCCATACCTTGGCTATTGTAAATAATGTTGCAATGAACGTAGGAGTACATATATCTTTTTGAATTAGTGTTTTAGTATTCTTTGGATAAATATCCTGAAATGGATTAGTTGTATCATATGGTAGTTCTATTCTTAATTTTTAAAGAAATCTCCATACTGTTATCCATAAAGATTAAATCAATTTACCTTTTCACCAACAGGGTATGAGCGTTTCCTTTTCTCCACATCCCTGCCAGCATTTGTTATTTCTGCCTTTTTGGTAATAGCCATCCTAATGATTGTGAGATGATATCACACTGTGGTTTTGATTTGCATATTCCTAATAATGAGTGATGTTGAACATCTTTTCATGTACCTATTGGTCATCTATATGTCTTCTTGGGAAAAATGTCCATTCAGTTCCTCTGCCCATTTTTTAATTGGGTTGTTTGTTTTTTTGTTGTTGAGTTGTATGAATTCTTTATATATTTTGGATATTAACCATGCATCAGATATAACATCTGCAAATGTCTTCAATTCAGTAGGTTTTCTTTTTTTTTTTTAATTTTTGTGGATGGTTTCCTTTGATGTTCAGAAGCATTTTAGTTTGATGTAGTCCCAATTGTTTAGTTTTTCTTTTGTTTCCCTTGCTTGAGAAGACCTATCCAGAAAGATATTGCTAAAAGTGATGCCAAAGAACATACTGCCTATGTTTCTTCTATGGTTTTATGTTTTTGAGTCTTACATTCAAGTCTTTAATTAATTTTTAGTTGATTTTTGTGTATGGTGTAAGATAAGGTCTAGTTTCATTCTTTTGCATGTGGCTGTCCAATTTTCCCAACACCATTTATTGAGGAGACTATCCTTTTCCATTGTATGTTCTTTGCTTCTTTATTGTAAATTAATTATCCATATACCTGTGGATTTATTTCTGGGTTCTCAATTCTGTTCCATTGGTCTGTGAGTCTGTTCTTCTGCCAATACTATGCTGTTTTGATTACTATAGTTTTGTAGTATAATTTGAAATCAGGTCATGTGTTGCCTAAAGGTTTGTTCTGTTTTCTTTCCATGAGCATGCTATATCTTTCCATTTCTTTGTGTCTTCTTCAATTTCTTTCAACAATGTCACAGTTTTTTTTCTTTTCTTTTTCTTTTTCTTTTTTTTTTTTGACCATGCAGCACGACCTGTGGGATCTTAGTTCCCTGACCAGGGATTGAACTCGGGCCCTCGGAAGTGAGAGTGTGGAGTCCTAACCACTGGACCACCAGGGAATTCCCAATGTCACAGTTTTCAATGTACAGGTATTTTACCTCCTTGGTTAAATTTCTTCCTAGGTATTTTATTTTTTGTTGCAATTGTAAATGGGATTGTTTTCTCTTTCCACTTCATTGTTAAGTATAGAAACACAACAGATTTTTGCATATTGATTTTGTACACTGCAACTTTACTGTAGGCATTTATTATTTCTAATAGTTTTTAGGTAGATTCTTTAGGGTTTTCTATCTATAAAATATTTCTTCCACTAATAGTGACAGTTTTACTTCTTTCCTTATCAGTTTGGATGACTTTTTTTTTTTTTGCGGTATTCGGCCCTCTCACCACCGCGGCCTCTCCCGTTGCGGAGCACAGGCTCCGGACGCGCAGGCCCAGCGGCCATGGCTCACGGGCCCAGCCGCTCCACGGCATGCGGGATCTTCCCAGACTGGGGCACGAACCCGTGTCCCCTGCGTCGGCAGGCAGACTGTCAACCACTGCGCCACCAGGGAAGCCCAGTTTGGATGACTTTTATTTCTTTTTCTTGCCTAATTTCTCTACCTAGGGCTTCCAATATGATGTTAATTAAAAGTGGTGAGACTGGACATGCTTGTCTTATTCCTAATCTTAGAGAGATAACTTTCAGTTTTTCACTGTTGAGTATGATGTTAGCTGTGGGTTTGTCATATATGGCCTATATTATGTTGAGTTATATTTCTTCTATACCCATCTTATTGTTAGTTTTCATCATATATGGGTGTCAAATAATTTTCATTGATCTTTTCTATTGTTTTTCTAGTCTCTATTTCATTTATTTCTGCTCTTATTTGTTATTTCCTTTTTTTCTGCTAACCTTGGGCTTAGTTTGTCTTTCTTTTTCTAGCTCCTTGAGCTTTGAAGTTGGGTTGTTTGTTTGAGATCTTTCTTCTGTCTTAATACATGCATTTATCACTAAAATGTCTCTCTAAGAACAGTTTTTGCAGCATCCCATTGATTTTTGTGTGTTGTTTCCATTTTCATTTTTTCAAGATACTTTAAAATTTCCCCTTTGAGTTCTTTTCTCATTCATTGTTTGTTTGGGAGTGTTGTTTAACTCCCAAATGTTTGTAATTTTTCCAGCTTTCCTCATGTTGTTGACTTCTCTTTTCACACTCTTGTTGTTGGAAAAGAAACTTGGTATGATTTCAGTCTTTTTAAATTTGCTAAGACTTGTTTGGTGACCTGTCATATGATCTGTCCTGGAGAATGTTCCATGTGCATTTGAGAAGAATGTGTATTCTGCTGCTTTTGCATGGAATGCTCTGTAAGTGTCTGTTAGGTCCGTTTGGTCTAAAGTATTGTTCAAGTTCAGCTTTTCCCTGTTGATTCAGCAATCTGTCCATTGCTGAAAGTGGGGTTTGAAGTCCCCTACTATTATTGTATTGCCCCTGTTTCTCCCTTCAGATCTGGTATTTGCTTAATATATTAAGTGCTATTGATGTTTTCTACTGCATTCTTCTTTTTATTCATTGAAATCTTCAGGTTCAGAATTTCTGTTTGATTTTGTGGTTTCTACCTCTTTGTTAAATTTCTCATTTTGTTCATATATTGTTTTTCTGATTTCACTGAATTTCCTTTCTGTGCTTTCTTGTAGCTCACTGAATTTCTTCAAAACAGCTATTTTGAATTTTTTATCTGGTAAATAATAAATCTCTGTGTCTTTGACTTTTATTATTGAAGGATTACTATGACTTTTGCTGATGTCATGTGTCTTTGATTCTTTTTTTTTAATAAGAAAATAAGAGTTATTAGCTTGTGTTCTGAAGATGCAAGCCAAAATCTGTTAAATGTTATAAAACAAGTTTAAAGATTCCCAAAGGAGACATAAGCTTTTATTCTTTTAAATTGTTCAGTATACATCCTTACATGAAAAAAAGAGAAACTTCTATAATTGTGCAGTATCCATAATCTACTCATAAACACCCAATATAATTTACAAAAATAATGCTTTTGAAACAAATAACCAAATCTTACTTAAGATACTCAACAGTAAATCTCTAATAAAAACTCTCAGCTTAATTAAGTGGCTATATCACCAAGGAACTCTTTCCATTACCAAATTATACCCAATTCTACAATTTGCCCTCTATATTAAATAATAATCTTAAACAAGGAGAATCATAGGACATTGAAAAAACAAAACAAAACAGAACAAAAATCCTCTGTGAAATATCTTAACATGTTAATGCTGCATTTGGAGATATAATCATCTATCTTGAACTATGACGAGTAAACTAACACCTTCTAAATGTCTTTACACTTCTTAAAATCAAAGGCATAATTCACAATTAAGTATTTTTCCAAATTTGCAACTCACTGTTTCAGGCAGAGTTGCATTGATTAGGCTGGTAGAAGTACTGTTTTTTTGCATGGACTGGTTCCTTGGCCACAACCAGACATAAAGATCTAATGGTTTGTTCTAACAATGCAGTTGCTTGCTGTTGGGAAATGTCCTGACCCAGTGGTAAGTATGTGATTAATAGCCAATATTTGGTCATTTTCCTTCAACCTTTGATCCCTGCCAGCTATACTCCCTGGCTGCACTTCCTTCACGAAGATATCAGCTTCTCCCAGATTTTGACCTCTGAGCATCACCACACTGAATCCAAGGCCTCCAGTTGAGGGCTGTTCTATATCTATATATTCAATTTGCTGGCCCTGAGCCATCTGTTGCATGATTGAGTTAATATCATCATTTCCCGACTTTGGGGTCCAAGGAAATAACCCAGACACAGTCAAGTTATTAGAGGACCTTTGGGCATTCCCATTAGTAATGGCACCATCCATGATCATCAGTAAGTCTTTCCTAGAAAAATCAAAGTTGGCTGAACAAGCTGAGGGTATATGGCTGAGCTGCCCCTTCAGTTGCTTGATGGACTGTTGAAGTGTGCGTATCTGGATGAAGAGAGGACTGGCGTTTTATAAAACATAGATAGCTTCTCATTCTGCAAAGTGTCACCCTTCTCCTGTAATTTCATTTTCAAGCGATCAAGAACTTGTAGGACCTGCAGTTTACCTGTAGCAGGATTTTCAGGCACCTTGAATTACTGTCTTCAATCACTTTTAAAGAAACCTGGTCGGGCGGAGGCACCGGTGAGAGGGCAGGTGGGCGGGTTCAGCGTAGTCCTCCCTCCTGTCTTTGATTCTATGTTCCTCGGAGGTTTGCATTAGTGTTTTCACATTTGAAGTAGCAGTCACCCTCTCCAATCTTTGCTAGCTGCCTTCAAGTGAGAGATACTTTTGGTTGGTCCTGCTTATATGCTGAGGCTTTCTTCCATCTTGTATGGACACACTTCCTGCACACTTCCTGCTCCCTCTTTTGGCAGAATTCTTAAGCTTCTATGCCTTCTCTCCACCTTACAACACACCAGGCTGACTGTTGGTAACCTCCTTTTTCTCTTCTAGAAGCTGGTGCTGTAGCTCAAGATTGTGGTTTCTCACTTGTGTTCAGACCATGCCCTATTTTCTGTGCGTCCTCTCTGTCTATACAAGCTTGCTTCCAACACCGCCCTCAGGAACACACCCAAAGAGCGAAGCACAGAGTGGGAGAAGGTGTAGGTTTGGCACTTGGGGCATTGAGGGCGCCCACAGGCAGTTGGGGGCATCCTCAAGTGAAGACCCACCCTGGGTGGGTCTCCTGCTCGAGTCTAGACCACAGTCAGTAGGCATCTCTTTAATGCCCTCTGATATTCTTATCTGCCTCTTTCTTTCATACTCTGTAGTCGAGAGCCATCACGGCTGGGGAATCCCGGTGTTCACTCACCGCTGTCTCTTTTCCCCTTGGGAGGGATTCTCAGCCTCCTTCTTATCTAAGCTGTGCCACCTTGAGGGAGGGGTGATGCTTGTAAAATTCCTCTTACCCGTTTCAGTGGGTTTTTTTTGTTGTTGTTTGTTTTTTTGCTCCTACGGAGTTCTAGAACTTCTTTAGAAACCTGAACATCTATAAAGGCTCTCTTGTCCAGATGTATCTGTGCAAGCCAGCATTTTGCAGAGGTTGGAGCCTGTTCCACAGTTTTATTGGGGTATATCTGCCTGTTACCCAATGCAGAGGTACTCTTCCTGAGTACCTTGGTGTGTGGTGATGCGTACCACAGCTCCCACAGAGGCACTTTTGCTCACGGATAGATGCCAAATTTTAGAAGTTAAAGAGGGGACAGAGATCACGGGTGTCTTATGGAACCAAAATATTACTCTGTAAGTTTTATAATTTAAATTAATATTCTTAATTTTTATATTTGTTGGTTGATCAAAAGTCTATCAAATGAATTCCTGCTTTTGTCAGAGGAAGAACTTAGCCACATTTATATTTCTTATATTTGCATCCCTTTTGGGGGGGTAATAATAATTTCAACTGTGGTTTAACCTCAGGTCTATATTTCATCATATACAGTGTAATATTAATTATGTGTTTACTTAAACTTCAGTATTAAGTAGAGTCATTAGCCCCAGTGGAGAATCTATAGTTCCAGTCATTTTGTACAATGTCTTCACATTTTTTGAGATTCTTATTTCCAACTATCCATTGGTTGTCTGGATTTCTTTGTTAAGTAGTTTATTTTCAGAAAGAGTCTATATATGTTGCATTCAGTAAGTTCCTAATGTCAGGTTTTGATTTTACATTTGCATGAGAACAGGAGGGTGTAAGAGCTCGGCTCATTTGCTGTGTTCCTCAGACAAGGTAGACATTATTCTTTTATTTTCAGTCATTGATGGGGCTGTGACAAAGTCTAAGGTGAGCAGGATACTTTTTCTTTATACCTAAAAATAAGGGACATCACCAGGATGTGCTTTTTTTCTATTAATGCTCAGACTTAGTTGTCCTCTTATTTGGGTAGAGTTATCTTCTATTAATGCATAACTTTTTTTCTGTGGTGTTCTAGTCTTCAGAAATACTGATTTTAGACTTTTCAGATCTCATTCCTTCTTTCGTAACAATCACCTTTTAAAGTGCTTTTACTTGTTTGGCAGAGTCAATTCTACTTCATGACGTTTCTACAGAATATCAGAAGGCATTCCTTTGTTTCTGATAAGGAAACACCTTTCACCTTCCTTTTCTGTGCTGAGAGATGCCAGCTCATTTTTTTTTTTTTAATAAATGTATTTATTTATTTGGCTGTGTTGGGTCTTCGTTTCTGTGCGAGGGCTTTCTCTAGTTGTGGCAAGCGGGGGCTACTCTTCATCGCGGTGCGTGGGCCTCTCACTGTCGTGGCCTCTCTTGTTGCGGAGCACAGGCTCCAGACGCGCAGGCTCAGTAGTTGTGGCTCACGGGCCTAGTTGCTCTGCGGCATGTGGGATCCTCCCAGATCAGGGCTTGAACCCGTGTTCCCTGCATTGGCAGGCAGATTCTCAACCACTGCGCCACCAGGGAAGTCCTGCCAGCTCATTTTTCATCTCTGTATTATGTCTTATCCTTTTAATTTCATCTGTTATAAGCATTTTTTCAGTCTAAGTTGTCCATGATTTCTTAAAGAATGAAGAAGTATTTTTATGAAATTATCTTATTTTTCCCGAAACATTTATTCAAATACAAATTCTTGATCTGCTTTTGGATTCTTTTTATCCTAATTGTGGTGGGGATGGCAGTAAGATGGTGCAAAGGGAGCATCTATGCATAGGTCCCCTGTAAATTATTTCTGGAAATTTGCTGTGTGTGGGGGAAGCTCTCTAAGCCAGTCATTTGTTCAAAGATAGTTTTGGAAGTGATGGGTATAGTAATATGGATGGGTCAGGAATTTTCAGTTTTACACCAGGTATAATATGAAACTGTCAAAGGATTTTGAGGAATAGGTAAACTCTATATGCACACGTGAAGAACAGTGCAAGTAGAATCTGGGTGGAATACAAAAGAAGAGATTATATAAATAAATGTAATAGCATTTTCAAATAATTGATAAGAAGAATCATTTGTCTGCTCTAAACACCCGTGTAGAATGCTTTAATATCAGCTGATTGTCAGAAAATATTTTTCCGATGGTATTTAAACGGACTCCACCTTCAGATCCCTGAGTGAATTTTTAAAATACATAATATATCATTTATGAGAAAAATATTTTAAGCACGAACAATAATAATACTCTAATTCAGAAATTTCAGCAGTCTAGCTCAGTATTATCTACGTTTAATCCTCTCCTAACCTCACTCTACGTTTTCCCTGTATTTGTTGACACATGTTTGATGGTTTTATTGGCTTTACTACTGTTTCAAAAATTACATCCAAAATTTCACAGCTTAAAACAACAAGCATTTATTATATCACAGCATCTGTGGCTCAGGAACCTGGGTGCAACTTAGCTGGACACTCTGATGTAAGGGTTCTCAATCACGGTGCCGGCCAGGGATGCAGTCATTTCAAGGCTTAACTGGAGGAAAATCTGCTTCCAACCTCACTCACACGGCTGTTAGTTGGCCTCAGGCCCCTGATGGTTGTTGGCTGTAGACAGCAGTTGTTTCACACATGGACCTCTTCATAAAGTTACAGGAAATAGAGTAACAGAGTTCACACAAGACAGGATTCACAGTTCTTTTGGTAACTTAATCTCAAAAGTGGCATGTATTCATTTTGCTGCATTATATTCATCAGAAATTAGTTACTAGGACCAGCACAGACTCAAGTAGAGTGAATTACACAAAGGCATGAACATAAGGATGCAGGATCATTGGGGGCCCCTAGAGGCTGTCTAGTGCAATTCACTCTTGACGTGCAATAATTCACCTCTCTCCTACATGCAAAGTACATTCACCCTCCCAAGATTCCCAAGCATCTAATCCCACTAAAACATTAGCTCAAAGTGCAGAATCTTATCAAATAAATCAGATTCATAAGTGGATGTTCCTTTGGATGTAGTTCTCTGAGCACATTTTCTGTAGAAATGTAGATCAGAGAAACTAAAGAGACAAGCTATTTGCTCCCTACACACTCCACATACAAGGGTGCGATATAGAATAAGAACTATAGACATTCTTGTTGAAAAAGGGATCAAGTGGTAGGCACACAGGAGTGACTGGTCCATAGCAATTCTAATATCCAGCCAGACAAACACCTGAAGCTCTTTGATTATGTTTCAAGATGTGGGAATAATGCTCTGTGTCTCTCAGCTCCACCCTCTGTGTTCTTTGTTCACCTGCTATGTCACCCTTCTTTTATCACAAAAGGTAGCACATATTTGTAGCTGAGAAATGTTCTCAGCCTACTTCACCAGAGTAGAAATTTGGGGGTCCACCTTTATTGTCAAGAGGCAATAAAATACCTCTTTCATTTTATATTGTCTCTGACCTTTCGATCCAAATTGGCAGGGTTTCTGCTGATATGATTCTCTCAAAAACCTTGTGCATCTCCTGTGACTTTCATTAGGGCAATTGCCACTAAACAACAACAACAACTCAAACCTTTTTCTAACTTGGACCCCTGCTGACACACTGAGGGACAATGCTGTAAGCATCCTGTTGCTTGGTTCGGAATATCTGTGGGTTATAGCCTTAAGCTCATTGAAGGACCTTTAGCGTGACTATAGTTCTCTCGGCATTAGTTTCCATTTTTCTGAAATCTAAACAATAGTTTTTACAGTAATAGCCTAGGCTTCATTGTTAGACCACAGTACTCCTGGTATTACCATTGACTTGGTCTTTGTGAAGAAACTATTTGTTCATGTTACCATCCGGTGCCCTATGGAGAGGCTGGGAGTTTTAAAATCCATAAAGCCCTGGCTCCATTTTGTTTAAAACATGCCCTCCTCCATTTCTGTCTCTCTTCTCTCATTTCACTCAAAACAGCAAGAAGGAATGAGATTGTGCCTTCAACATTTTGCTTGGAAATCCCCTTAGCTCGATCGACCCATTCAATTTAGGAGATTTTCTGCTTTCCACATAACTGCAGATAACAGGATTGCTAAACTTTCTGACAGTATTTAACAAGAATCTTCTTTCCCCCAGTTTCCAATAACATGTTCTTCACTTTCTTTTAAACCCTCATTAACAGCATCCCCAAAATCCGGATTTCTATTAAAAATCTGTTCAAGGGAATCTGGACATTCTCTACTACGTTCCTCAAAATCCTTCCCGTTTCTGTTCATTCCCAGTTCTCAAACCACTCCCACATTTTTAGGTCTTTGTTATGGCAACACATCCTGCTGCATACCAAAATATGTGTAAATTACCAACTGCCGCCTCACCAATTACCCCAACCACAGCATAACAAAACAAACATTTAGCGTCTCAGTCTCTATGGCTCAGGAATCTGGGCACAGAGTTATTAGGTGCCTCCGGTTCTTTTATAAGTCTGCAATCCAGGTGTTGACCGGGGTTAGTGATCTCAAGGTTGGCTGGAAAAGGATTTGCTGCCCAGCTCACTCATCTGGAAGTCGGGAGCCGTCAGGCGGCCAGAAACATCAATTCCTTGCCAGTGGGACACTCCATACAGCTATTCACAACATGGCATCTTGCGGTCCCTAGAGTAAGGGCTCCTACAGTGTTATGGGTTGAATTGTGTCCCCCTAAAAGATATGTTGAATTCCTAACCCCCACCACCTCAGAATATAATCTCATTCAGGAATGGGAGCATTGTAGATATAATTCATTAAGACAAGGTCATCCTGGAGTAGGCTGGGCCCTTAATCCAAAATGACTGGTATCCATATAAGAAGAGGGAAAACTGGACACTGACACAGACACAGAGAGAAGAACACCATGTGAGGAATTACACTGGTACAGGCCAAGGAATGCCAAGGATTCCTGGTGATACCAGAAGTTAAGAGAAAGGCAGGGAACAGACTATCCATGATAGACTTCAATAGAGCATCATCTTCCTGACAACTTGATCTCAGAATTTTAACCTCCATAACCGTGTGAAAATAAATTTCTGCTGCCACCCAGTTTGTGGTAATTTATTATGGCAGGCCTAGGGGGAAAATAAAAAGAGAAAAAGAAAAAACAATAAAAACAACAAGAAACCCAGCAATCCCACTCCTGGGCATATACCCAGAGAAAACCATAATTCAAAAAGATACACGCGCCCCAATGTTCATTGCAACACTATTTACAATAGGCAGGAGGTGGAAACAACCTAAATGTCCATCGACAGAGGAATGGATAAGAAGATGTGGTACATATATACAATGGAATATCACTCAGCCATAAAAAGGAACGAAATAGTGCCATTTACAGAGACATGGATGGACCTAGAGACTTATACAGAGTGAAGTCAGAAAGAGAAACACAAATATCGTATAATATCACTTATATGTGGAATCTAGAAAAATGGTACAGATGAACTTATTTGCAAAGCAGAAATAGAGACACAGATGTAGAGAACAAACTTATGGGTACTAAGGGGAGAAGGGGGGCGTGGGATGACTTGGGAGATTGGGATTGACATATGTACACTACTATGTATAAAACAGATAACTAATGAGAACCTACTGTACAGCACAGGGAACCCTACTCAGTGCTCTGTGGTGACCTAAAGGGAAGGAAATCTTAAAAAGAGGAGACATATGTATACGTATAACTGATTCACTTTGCTGTACAGCAGAAACTAACACATTGTAAAGCAAATATAATCCAACAAAAATTAATTAAAAAAAAAAAACAAGAAAAAAAACATAGTCATCTAACCTAATCTCAGAAGTGACATTCAAGATTTTTGCCCACAGCTTCTGGCTGGTGAAAAGCTCACTCTATGGTAGTCCTAATATGTGTTGCTTACACTCTGTGTTACAGCCACTATAAAATAAATAATAAATAACACATATAAAGTATGTATATAGCATTCTTTAGTCATTCAAAAATCATTGAAAAAAGTGTTATTATTTATTTTAAGTAATTGGTGAAGTAGGAAGAAAAATCATTATTCCTTATGTCGGAGTTTTGACCTGGAAGGGATTCTTATTTTTAGTTTTGCACAGGAAACACTAAGCTTTATCACAGTGTATAAGGCCTGATCTGCTCAGTCAACAACTTGGTTTTTGTCTGTATGATGTAAAGGTAGGTGGTTAAGTGGACTTGTTACCTTGGCCACTAAAATTCCTACCTTCTCCTGTGACCTGCTCTCTGCAGACATTGTCTTATTGTTAAAAGTTAAAATGAGGAATATTAAAAATTTAAAGAGTTTATTTGAGCAAAAATTGATTCAAACTGGGCAGCATCCAATCTAGCAGACAGAAAGGAGCTCCAAGGCGCTGTACAAAATGAAAAACTTTCAGACAGAGGGGAATAGCATCAAGGAAATTATACCAGGCAAAGAAAGTGGGCTAGTTAATGCAAAGTTACTTTCCTTTAGGTGATGACAAGATTACATAGCTATTGCTGGTCAGGTAATTCTTGATCAACTGGTGTAAGATTCCATTTCTGGGGGAACCAAAACTATAGTTAAGCCTCAGTTTGGTGAATTGGTTGCTAGTGACTTAGCACAAGTGACTGCGTTTTGGGTTCGTCTTGTTTTTAACACCATGAACACCATTCCAAGAACCCCTAATTCCCTCCACCTACTCCTGAAGTGCATTTCCCTTTATTCACCTCCCAGATACACCAGAGGCAGGAGGGAAGTACCCAGAGCATGTAGCCATCCCTTTCCAAATCAAGGAAGTCACTTCCCGGGTCTCCCTAAGTCACTTTCAAAGCCACTAAGTTGTTCCTCTCCCCTTTCCACAAGGGCAGGCTCAGAAGAAGTGGAGTTTTAGGAAGAATAATTCCTTGGGCTTTGAAGAAGTCTGAGTAGAAATTCTGAAATCTGTCCCAGGTGAGTGGTCTGCCTCCCTTCTTTTTTTTTTTTTTTCCTGTACGCGGGCCTCTCACTGTTGTGGCCTCTCCCGTTGCGGGCGCACAGGCTCAGCGGCCATGGCTCACGGGCCCAGCCGCTCCGCGGCATGTGGGATCTTCCCAGACCGGGGCACGAACCCATGTCCCCTGTATCGGCAGGCGGATTCTCAACCACTGCGCCACCAGGGAAGCCCACTGCCTCCCTTCTTGAACCTGAGTTTTGCAAAATAAGGGTGGGGGAGGGGTGGATGTGATGATACCTGAAAACAAGATCTGCTTGCTCCTGGGGGCTGGTCCCCTCTTTATGTTGTGTGGCACCCTCTTCTTTACCCGAAGCAAACTTCCCCTGATCACCTCCACAGCCTCCTGCTCTGGGAGGGGATTCTTCTAAGGACTTCACGAACCTGCTCCTTTTACTGACCTGGCAGTGAGTGTTTCTGCCTGCACAGATGCCAGGGCTGGAAGTTGTTGGATGTCCCATCACCAGCAGCAGAGGCCTTGCCTGGGAGATTGTTAAAAATACAGGACCTCAGGTCCTACCTCGGACCCAGTGAATTCAAATCTGCAGTTAACAGGATCTCCAGATGATTCTCAGGCACCATAGCAAAGTGTTTAAACCACGGCTGTAAATGACACAGCCAGAATCAGTTATTTCGAGGATTTTATTCCAAAGCCCCCCTTGGTGTGTGTGTGTGTCTGTGTGTGTGTGCATGTGCACAGGCTGTGGGAGTGGGAAAGGGAAGGAGGTGGACACTGGCGCTGCTCATTAAGAGTTTGCGTTTGATGTTTGTCCACACCTCTGAGGGTATTTGTACATAAAGAAATGGAGTAGTGATCGCTAGAGTGCAACTTGTGTAGCTGCTCCAAAAACCCAAGGGTTTTTTTGGTTTGCGTTTGTTTTGTTTTGTTTTGTTGTTTGTTTGTTTGTTTGCTTTACCTGAGTTCATTTACTAAGAGTTCATACCAGGGGGCGCTGCAGGCCTTTCTTTTTTTTTGTCCTTAAAACTTCTGTATAGTGAAGTCAGAAAGCTCAAATTATTGGTAAATGCTTCAATCCACATTATTTCATTTGATACATCAATACCTGCATTTCCCAGGTATTGGGTCTTTGGACTTTATGGATGAGTAAAGAGCAAGACTGACCATCTGTTTCCAATCTCCAAAACCCAGGCTCCTTTTGCAGCCTACCGCACCACTTGTTGCTCTTATGATAACTTCAATATGAAGTTATACAGAGAAAGAACTAAAATAAAATTTTGCCCAAGGCTGGGTAAGTAGTCTGTCTAAATTCAAGTAGATGAAAACAATATTTATTGTGTTGCTTTGCTAAGAGTCTTTTAATTGTTTGCAACACAAAATGCAACCCATATTGCAAATTCATATAAAATATTCTGTTAGGTCTTCTGCTAGAAATTTAAAGGGTATCACGGTACCTCTGAACAAGATTGATGCATGTATATGATGACCTGGACAGCCCTGATATTTCCCTAAACTTGTATAAACTTTAGACAAGTGTCTACCTAACTATAGATCCCTCACTTCCCTTTTCTTAGAGCATTTACCTTAGAAAACTTGCAATTGTACAATTGTAAATTCTTTCTTTCGGCCTGTTTGAGAGGTAAATCTCATAGCCTCTTGCCTGGGTCTTTGGGAAAGACCCAAGAACGTCTTTCCCAAAGACTTGGGAGCCATCTCTTTGAAATATAATCATCAAGAGAGACAGTTTCCCTTTTACCCCAGTCTCAGTTGGAGAATAGGAGTCTGGTTTCCATAAAACATAAAAGAGCTATATATATATATCTTTTGTTTTTTCCTGTAATGATAAAGTTTTGTTTGCTTTTTCAAGTGCAATAATCTGGATGGTCAGGACACTATTGTTACCTCTAATTAGGTACCTTCAAGAAAAGGAAGTCAATTTTCTTTGCTTATGAAGATAATCTGTTCATTCTTCTCCTGACCTTCTCCTTCATGTTCTCTGTTGTCAGGGAACAGCCATGTTGGTGCTCCTTCTGCTGCTGTTTTTTTTGTTTACCCCACAGGTAATTCTGATACACTGCTTTGTAAGCTGGGCCTGTGTTGTAAAATAAACATTTTTAAAATTATATTTACCCTTCAGCAAGTGTAGATGGATGGGTAAAAATTCTCTTTCAAAAGTTACTATGGTCATAGCCAAGCAAAAATACAGATTTCAGCCTCAATCTTTTTCTCTTGATGGGTTAGTGCTTTAATTTGTTTAGCAGTGTCTCCAGCAGTTTCTAAAGTGCCTTTTTCAGGGACTTCCCTCGTGGTGCAGTGGTTAAGAATCTGCCTGCCGATGCAGGGGACACGGGTTCGATCCCTGGTCCAGGAAGATCCCACATGCCATGGAGCAACTAAACCCATGTGCCACAACTACTGAGCCCATGCACTGCAACCACTGAAGCCCGTGAACCTAGAGCCCATGCTCCACAACAAGAGAAGCCACTGCAATGAGAAGCCCACGCACCGCAACGAAGAGTAGCCCCCCCTGCTTGCTGCAACTAGAGAAAGCCTGCACTCAGCAATGAAGATCCAATGCAGCCAAAAATAAATAACTTTAAAAAGTAAAAAAATAAAGTGCCTTTTTCTGATTTTCGTTTAAAGAATTGTGGCAGCAAATGATCTTTGACCCTTAGCTTATGTCACGTGTACAGAGCACACTCACTGGAGCTCTGTACATGTAACATGTATAACTTTCAGTTCTAGGTTAAGGATGAGTGGGTTCTTAGGTCACTGTGCTAAAAACAGTTATAATGTTGACTAAAAGTCACCTGCTTTTAAAAATTAACAGACTTCATTTTAGCTTTATGAGAAAAAAAGCAGTTTAGGTCTGCAGAAAATTTTAGCAGAAAATACAGAGTTCCCGTATGCGTTTCTTCCTCTTATGCATCTTCCCCTATTTTTAACACCTTCCATTATTGTGTTACACTGGTTACAGCTGATGAACAAATTTCACTACATTATTATTAACTGAAGTCCATAGTCTAAATGAGGGTTCACTCTTTGTGTTCTATATGCTATGGATTTTGAAAAATGTATAATGACATGAATCTGAAAGGGACACAGTCAAGGGACAAAGTCGGTAATTAAATAGTTAACCCCACTAGGGGATTGTAAGTAAGAAAAGTATGGGAGACCCCTGTAAGTTAACGATCACTTAAGAAAGCAGGTTTGCTTAACCACAAAATGAAGCAGGCTTGTGTATCAACAAAGCCATGCAACCGAAGCATGAGACGTGCCCCAAAACAATAAAACAATGGTGGCGTGAGACCCACATCCTGCTCAGTGAGCTCAGTAAGTTAATGACCCCTAGGACATGCTCTCTGCACATAAAAAACAATAATTTATGGAAAGGTGACATTGCATTGCAAAGTGAAAGACCCTCATGGTACTGAGACCTGAAATAATTTTTCCATAGTGCCATGACAGTCCTGGATTAACCACGTAGGGACAAGAAAACTCCCCAGCTGGACCTGGAGGAGGAGCTGATGATGGAAGCTTGACATCTACTCAACAATGAGGAAGGGCTTCCCTGGTGGCGCAGTGGTTGAGAGTCCGCCTGCCGATGCAGGGGACGCGGGTTCGTGCCCCAGTCCGGGAGGATCCCACGTGCCGCGGAGCGGCTGGGCCCGTGAGCCATGGCCGCTGCGCCTGCGCTTCCGGAACCTGTGCTCCGCAACGGGAGAAGCCACAACAGTGAGAGGCCTGCGTACCACAAAAAAAAAAAAAAAATGCAGTTATGGTATTGTTTTGAGAACATGTTCCTAAACTCCTTTCCACCTGGACCAATCTCACTGTGGACAGATCCTCAGCTTTGAGATCTGATCACCCCAAGGAAGTCCGAGAAAGTGTGATGGAGACAGGTGATGCTATATTTAAGATCATTTAAAAATCAAAATGGAGTAACTATGGTTCACACATCCAGAATGGAGCCAGGTGGCCATCGGTGGATGTGGTTTCAGATGCATTCTTGCATCACTGAGGACTTGAACTTTCGGAACTGTATCTAATTTAAGAACACCACCAGCCATTTTCACGATATTTGCAAGCAGCTGCCGGCTGCAGACACTGTTTCCAAGTGCCCCCCTCCCTGCCCTGCAACTGTATAACCATTTTGAACCCCAACACATTCTTGTTTAAACAAGCACCCTTATTTCTTGCCAGCTCCAATCCGAATTCTTGACAATTTATGTAACCTTGCAGTTTTTTGCCTCTGTGAGCTTTCCCCATTTTGTAGTCCTGGAACGCATGCAACTCAATGCTTTTTGATCTGTGCCTCCTGAGACCTGAGCTCCTAACCACACATCAACACTTTTCGGGTGTGTGTGTGTGTGTGTGTGGTCACAAGCAGGGTTTTCTGTTCTCAAAAGTCTTGGTTAACACAGGTTAGACAGCCTCGTCCCCACCTCTGGTAGGCCAGCGTGGCAACCAGCCTGTGGCCTGCTGCAGACTTTCCCCTGCTTTGCCAGGAAGGGACCCGGTTTGGGAGACAGCCTGAGCAGCGGGCAGTCTTCTTTGATCCACTGTTAACCCACCAGGACCCCATCAGGCGCTCCGCAAGTTTCAGTGTCCTCAGGTGACTTTGGAAAGGAACCAAAGACCCCTAACCTGAAGGCATCCTGTTTACAACGGTTCTGACTTTCTCTTTTGCCTCGAAGCCCTGGCAAATGAAAAACAGGAAGCAAAACTGGGTTAAAAAAAGCTGGGTGTGACATCCGGCCGTGGGATATCTACTGCCCTCTGGTCTACTGCCAGTGCCTGCTTCCTGGCCTGCCCCAGGCGGTGGCAGAAGGTTGAGGCCTGGAAGCCAGAGACCATCCAGGAGGGGCTGCGGATGGGGAGGGATGTGGGCGCAGACCCCGAAGCTGGAGCCCCCTGGAGAG